CGTACCTAGTAGCCAGAACTCACTTTTTGGCCTACTATTCAAGGCCCGATTTGCCTAATAAGCCAAGTTTTCCTGAATTAATATATTTTTTCTAATTTTTTTCTTATGAAATGATAAAGCTACCCATTTCATTATGTATGAGGTCAATTTTTTTTTATTGGAGTTAAAATTAACGTAGATATATGACCGAACCTAACCAACCCTACCTAACCTAACCTAACCTATATTTATAGGTAAGGTTAGGTTAGGTAGCCAAAAAAAGCTAGGTTAGGTTAAGTTAGGTAGGTTAGGTAGACGAAAAAACATTAATTCATGAAAACTTGGCTTATTAGGCAAATCGGGCCTTGAATAGTAGGCTGAGAAGTGCGTTCTGGCTATTAGGTACGACATATATATATATATATATATATATATATATATATATATATATATATATATATATATATATATATATATATATATATATATATATATGTCGTACCTAGTAGCCAGAACGCACTTCTCAGCCTACTATACAAGGCCTGATTTGCCTAATAAGCCAAGTTTTCATGAATTAATTGTTTTTCGACTACCTAACCTACCTAACCTAACCTAACCTAACTTTTTCGGCTACCTAACCTAACATAACCTATAAAGATAGGTTAGGTTAGGTTAGGTAGGGTTGGTTAGGTTCGGTCATATATCTACGTTAATTTTAACTCCAATAAAAAAAATTGACCTCATACATAATGAAATGGGTAGATTTATCATTTCATAAGAAAAAAATTAGAGAAAATATATTAATTCATGAAAACTTGGCTTATTAGGCAAATCGGGCCATGAATAGTAGGCTGAGAAGTGCGTTCTGGCTACTAGGTACGACATATATATATATAAATTGGGCCTACTATGCAAGGCCCGATTTGCCTAATAAGCCAAGTTTTCCTGAAATTATATATTTTTCTAATTTGGTTCTTATGAAATGATAAAGCTATCCATTTCATTATGTATGAGTTAATTTGCTAATATTTGAGTTAAAACTAACGTAGACATATGACCGAATCTAACCAACCCTACCTAACCTAACCTATCTTAACCTAACCAAAGCAAACTTAACAACATCAATAATTTATGTTCCAAATATAATAAAATAATAATAATTCAAATAAAGTAACTGGAGACAATTTATTGAAAATTAAGAAAATCACTCTGCCTATTAGGCAAATCGGGCCTTGCATAGTAAGCCGAGAAGTGCGTTCTGGCTACTAGGTACGACATTTAAATATATATATATATATATATATATATATATATATATATATATATATATATATATATATATATATATATATATATATATATATATATATATATATATATATGTCGTACCTAGTAGCCAGAACTCACTTCTCAGCCTACTATTCAAGGCCCGATTTGCCTAATAAGCCAAGTTTTCCTGAATTAATATATTTACTATAATTTTTTTCTTATGAAATGATAAAGCAACCCTTTTCTCTATGTATGAGGTCAATTTTTTTTTATTGGAGTTAAAATTAACGTAGATATATGACCGAACCTAACCAACCCTACCTAACCTAACCTAACCTATATTTATAGGTAAGGTTAGGTTAGGTAGCCAAAAAAAGCTAGGTTAGGTTAGGTTAGGTAGGTTAGGTAGACGAAAAAACATTAATTCATGAAAACTTGGCTTATTAGGCAAATCGGGCCTTGAATAGTAGGTAAACAGGAGAATAAGCTATTTATCCGTATGGTATTTTCCACTGTGACTAAATATTTCAACTATGAAAATATTGTATTATGATCACCGTCTAAATTAAGGCCTTACATTCATCAAGAGTGATTTATTCCCACCGAATGAACTACTAGACGGCCCAAAGAAAGTTTAAAATTATAATAAAAGTGCACAAGGCACACCTGTGAGGTAAATGTAGTTTTAAAGTACTGGCAACGGGTGAATGGCCAAACAAAATAGCACCGAGGATCAGAGGAAGAGGACGAGATTTCGTCGAGTGCTGTGACACCGACTTAGTCGCTATACAATGAGAGGCAAGAGTGGGTAAAGCAGCTAGTCGCAGCCAATCAGCAATAGTGATGCAGTGACGTCATCAGCGAGCACCAAGACGGGACAACAGATTTGCGAATTGAATCACTGGTCTCACAGCTGAGGACAAGGGCAGACGTAGGCGCCAGCACTCCAGGAGAAGATCGCCAGTTTTGTGATAGTGTGGGAAGTTGAACATTACCAGAGGGAGCATTAAGAGTACTTTGACCATAACAGGAGAGGCTGACAACATTTTTGACAGGGTGGAAAAGCAAAAAGTGACAAGGTGGAGCGACTGTCGTTAGTGGAACCCAAGAGGGCACCCTTGGTCAGAATAGGGATGTGATTACATCCCCTTCAGATGTTTGTGTATAATGCGAAGAGTGAGGATCGTCCGTCAAGTGTTTGAGGCAGTCCCGACGCAACCCATAAACCAGTGGGTCGTGGCCATATATGTTGCTGTACAGAAGGAAATGAAGGTAAGAAGAGATTTATAGCATTCAACAGGACGACGGGTAAGTGTAGTGCCAAATACCCTTTTAGCACGAGAGCCAGACCAGTGATTGCTGCGATTATTTTATCAGACAATCCGAAATCACGTTAATCTCCAGTGACACTATATATGATAAATGTTGACACAACCAGTGGAGACAGTGGACATGTTGGCATAGTTTAACAGTGCAGGCTATACAATTCAGAGACTACGGAGGAAGGTGGAGGTCCCGCGGGGCAACGTACTCTTATGAGAATACAACACATTTGGCGGTAGTGGAGCAGCCTGAGGATACAGCTCTTACTACTATGATAGGAACGAGAGTACTTGAAGACTTCATTGGAGAGGAGCCTTAGTGAGTGAGTGCGACGTCAAGGTTATTATTAGTGAGAGACAGGAGACTAAGAACATGGCCGATGTCACAAATCAGCTGTTGGAGGAATGAAGTCATCAGGGCAGCCGCGGCAACAGCGAGGCAGCTTGACCTAAGTAAAGCTCACCGCTTCTGCTGAGGATAACTCAATTTATTTGGCACTGGACATAGAGGTGTCTGCCTCGATTTAAATAGCAATGTGAGTTAGTGAACATGACTGCCACAGGTAATCACTATCTTAACACCTCACGTTTTACCTAACAAACGTAAGGTAAAATAAAAATTTTACCTGAAAATTTATATTTTCGTATTACTGTTTAGTGCAGAATACTTTATTCATTAATTGTTATTAGCACAGCATTCTTCACATGCTATCAAACCTGTGTTGACACGACCACAACTTTTCACATGCAAAGATTTACAATCACATGAAGCTTATTAGCGGCTCCCAAGCTCTTGCTCTACTGGTTGAAACTTGTTACCTCCACTTAACAGATGGTTTACTCCCATGCTTATATTGTCCCACATTTCCCACACCCCAAATACTAGCCCCTAGTACGATGAGATAAATTTATTGTGCTAGGAAATTAAATTGACTAACATTACTAACAAGAAGCATAGTGCCGCCAAATTCTTCCTATTATTCATGGCCACGATTGCATCAGCCACCCAGTTCCTATGAGAACAAACTATTTTTATAAATCGAATTAAACCCAGTCTAATCTTTGTTTAATTTACTAGGTAATTTAGACTGGAAATTTATTTAATTCATTAAAAGAAATTATACCTCCTTTTTCTAGGTAGAATTTTCCACAGCCGCCATCAGCTGATTCTGGCAGGATAAAGTCACGAACTGAATATTACCTATGCATATGTGTTGTTCATATAACGACACTTTGGTTCAATAATATAAACAGCGGAAAACTGTCTGTTTATACCTGAAGTGCATTATTACGACGTAAAATAACGTCGGCAATGTCTTATTAAATAGTAAGACAGAGTAAAATATCGTGACTTGTATGTCGAGATTATTCACAGATAGGAAGCTAGGGAATGCGCGCGTCACCTCTGCTGGTGTTCCGAGAAACTCGCCATTTAGCATCGCAAAATATAGGGATCATCCGTGCATTAACGAGTCCCAGACGTTGCTGCCTGCTTCACCTAGCATCGAGGACACCACGTCCGGTTGGATGAGCAATCTTATCATTCTTTATGGCCATAATTACAGTGATAGATTATCCAATCGTTAGGACGTAGGATTATTAAATAAACCTAGTAAGTATAATTCCGTGAAGCGGTTAATTCCTTCAATGGATATTAGTTAATGTAACTGTAGTTCAATAGAAATTACATTTTATGCCTTTCACAGCGTGGAATAAAGGTGACGAGAGCGGATCATCTTGACTGGAGAACCATATGTCCAAGACACCTTTACATTGAGACAGGATTGTACTGATATAGGAAGACTGTTAGATGCACTTCTCATTATCTACTTGACAGCTGTGTTGATCATTACTTTGTTATGATATTGTAGTTAGTTTACTAACACCATAACCCTTTTTTCCTGATAAATTTTATTATTGAAATTATGCAATATAATGTTTATTAGGTAGATCTAGCAGTTTTAGATCTACCCCCAAAAAGTGTGGAAGTGGAATAATCTAACTAATTATATTCAATTGATACAGTCCCCTTATGTCAAATATTTATCTAGATTTATTAATTAATTTATGATTATAGTAAACTATATGTTGGAAGATTTTCCCCACATATAGGTCAATATTCAATCAATATCGGCCACGTTTTGCCAAATTTATATATTTTCTTTCCAATATATTAATCTCAAGTTTGCCCCGAACATCCATTAATTGTCAAACTATCTCCTCGGCAAAGTGCCACAAGAATAACAGGTAACTAGGATAAATTATAACAAATGATCAAGACAAATTGACCAAAATGATCGAGCTACATCCACTTATAATAGCCAATAGCATTAGTGTTAACTTTGTCAGTGGATTAATTAAAGAGATGTTTGGGGGTCTCCTGCTGAACCCACAATTTAGAGATAATATGAACATTACTGGAACACTAACCTTCGGGGTCAACAGCGTTAATCTCAGCACTGTGGTCCATCAGCAGACTTATCATGTGAAGAGGACTGGCGCTCCATCTGGCCGCAGTGTGAAGGAATGGCAATTTCCCCTTGTCCCGCAAGTCTTAACCGAGGATGAAATAGAAAAAAAGTCATAATTTTAAAAACTTTTAAATAAATTTAATTTAAAAATTTTCTTATTACAAATATTGTAATAAAATTGTGAAATAAGGATAATTTCTTAAGTATTATATTTACTGCATTTAGAGATCAGACATCTTATGAATGTATATTCATGAGCAATGTATACCATCATGTATTCTGTTGAACAAATAGAATTTGCCAACCATTCAAGCCTTAACACACACACACACACACGTAGGAGTAAGCCGGGAGACGGTAGGGAACACACACGATTAAGTGAGGTCCGCGGAAATTCGTCAATATCTCGGGACATTGAAGGAGTATAGAGGCTAGATCACAGTATTTGGCCTCTCACAGTGTGTAGCTAGCAGGGTGCAACATAGGATAGTCATATAGCTAGCGAGAGTGCGAAGAAACAAAGTGGAGCTAGTGGCATCACAGGAGCATATAAGTGTGGAGGACTGCATGAAGCGACCTGACATGAGACCAGGTGGGAAACCCGCCGGGGAACTGCCTGATTGTGTTTGTTGAGTGGTGACTGTGATCAATGGTAAAGTAAATTAGTGAACTGTCACACAACGATACAGTGACTGACTCCAGAGCTTTATGTAGATAGAGAAGAACCGACATCATCAATCAACTAGCACTTAGTGAATCACCTAGTGGGAGACAACGACGGATAACCATCGTCATCATACATCATCCTATCTCATCTGGTTGTGTGAGCGGGAGGAGACTGGTATGTACCCCCTCTCTGGTCAATTAATCAGGTGTACAGATTGAGGTAAAATACTAACAAATTCTTGTTCAGGATATCATATATATTTAAAAATCTCAGGGTGGCTCATTTAGGTAGAGGTAGCGTATAAAGGGATCTCTTGACACATACACGCACGCCCGCCCACATACGTATGCACACACACAAGTGTGCACACGCTAAAACAGACACACACACACACACACACACACACACACGCACACACATACACAAATATTCAGTCAGGGGAAAAGGCATTAACACCTGGGATCAGGGAATAGGACCTTACTATGGGAAGATAGATTGGAAGACAGAGACCCGCATGGAGGACCAGAAACATGGAGAGCTGAGCTGCTGGACGTGGCAACAAGAAACTTTCTAAGCCAGCACATCAAAGAACCAAGAAGAATGAGAGGAGAAGATGAACCAGCAATGCTTGATTTGATATTTACCCTAAATGAGTGGGATATAAGGGAAGTTAAGATGGACGCGCCCTTGGGAATGAGTGACCACAGTGTATTGAACTATGAGTACCTGGTAGAGCTAGGACTTATCTTCCCCCCAAAAAAACTAGGAATCAAAAGGCTGGCATACCGAAAGGGGAATTATAAACAGATGAGAAGTTTCCTAATTGAAATACCTTGGGACACAGACCTCAGAGCTAAGTCTGTACAGGGTATGATGGACTATGTTACCCAAAAGTGTCAGGAGGCAGTAAACAGGTTCATCCCGGCCAAAAGGGAAAAATCCGAGAAGCAATAGAAGAATCCATGGTATAATAGGTCATGTACGGAAGCGAAGAAACTGAACAAAAGAACGTGGAGGAACGTCCGGAATAGCAGAACACCAGAAAGCAGAGAGAGATACCAGAGAACCAGGAATGAGTACGTCAGGGTGAGAAGAGAAGCAGAGAAAAGTTTTGAAAATGATATAGCAAACAAAGCCAAGACCGAACCAAAGCTACTCCACAGTCACATCAGAAGGAAAACAACAGTGAAAGAACAGGTAGAGAAACTTCGAACAGGCGGGGACAGGTATACAGAGAATGACAGAGAAGTGTGTGAAGAACTCAACAAAAAGTTCCAGGAGGTCTTCTCAATAGAACAAGGTGAGGTCACTGTGCTAGGAGAAAGGGAGGTAAAGCAGGCGGCCTTGTAAGAGTTCGAAATTATGAGAGAGGAGGTCAAGAGACACCTGCTGGAGCTGGATGTTAGAAAGGCTGTTGGTGCAGATGGGATCTCACCATGGATACTGAAAAAGTGTGCAGAGGCACTTTGCTTGCCACTCTCCATAGTGTATAGGAAGTCACTGGAGACGGGAGACCTACCAGAAATATGGAAGACGGCGAATGTGGTCCCAATATACAAAAAGGGCGATAGGCAAGAGACACTGAACTACAGGCCAGTGTCCTTGACTTAAATACCATGCAAGGTGATGGAGAAGATCGTGAGAAAAAACCTGGTAACACATCTGGAGAGAAGGGACTTCGTGACAAATCGCCAACATGGGTTCAGGGAGGGTAAATCTTGCCTTACAGGCTTGATAGAATTCTACGACCAGGTGACAAAGATTAAGCAAGAAAGAGACGGCTGGGCAGACTGCATTTTCTTGGATTGTCGGAAAGCCTTTGACACAGTACAGCATAACAGGCTGGTACATAAGCTGGAGAGACAGGCAGGTGTAGCTGGTAAGGTGCTCCAGTGGATAAGGGAGTATCTAAGCAATAGGAAGCAGAGAGTTACAGTGAGGGGTGAGACCTCCGATTGGCGTGAAGTTACCAGTGGAGTCCCACAGGGTTCTGTACTCGGTCCTATCTTGTTTCTGATATATGTAAATGATCTCCCAGAAGGTATCGATTCATTTCTCTCCATGTTTGCGGACGATGCCAAAATTATGAGAAGGATTAAAACAGAAGAGGACTGTTTGAGGCTTCAAGAAGACCTAGACAAGCTGAAGGAATGGTCGAACAAATGGTTGTTAGAGTTTAACCCAACCAAATATAATGTAATGAAGATAGGTGTAGGGAGCAGTAGGCCAGATACAAGGTATCATCTGGGAGAGGAAATTCTTCAGGAGTCAGAGAAGGAAAAAGACTTGGGGGTTGATATCACGCCAGACCTGTCCATATCTAGTCAAGCATAAGATTAACTGGAAAAGGTTTAAAGGTTTGCCACCAGACTAGTACTCGAGCTTAGAGGTATGAGCTACGAGGAGAGACTACGGGAATTGAGCCTCACTTCGTTGGAAAACAGAAGAGCTAGGGGGGACATGATCACCACATTCAAGATTCTCAAGGGAATTGATAGGGTAGATAAAGACAGGCTATTTAACACACGGGGCACATGCACTAGGGGACACAGGTGGAAACTGAGTGCCCAAATGAGCCACAGAGATATTAGAAAGAACTTTTTTAGTGTCAGAGTGGTTGACAAATGGAATGCATTAGGAGGTGAAGTGGTGGAGGATGACTCCATACACAGTTTCAAGTGTAGGTATGATAGAGCCCAATAGGCTCAGAAATCTGTACACCTGTTGATTGACGGTTGAGAGGCAGGACCAAAGAGCCAGAGCTCAACCCACGCAAACACAACTAGGTGAGTACAACTAGGTGAGTACACACACAAACACACACACACACACACACACATACACACACACACAGGTGTAGGAAGCAGGAGGCCAGATACAAGGTATCATCTGGGAGAGGAAATTCTTCAGGAGTCAGAGAAGGAAAAAGACTTGGGGGTTGATATCACGCAATACCTGTCTCCTGCTGCACATATCAAGCGGGTAACATCAGCGGCATATGCCATGCTGGCCAACATACGAACGGCATTCAGAAACTTGTGTAAAGAATCATTCAGAACTTTGTATACCACATATGTCAGGCCAATCCTGGAGTATGCAGCCCCAGCATGGAGTCCATGTCTAGTCAAAGATAAGACTAAACTGGAAAGGTTCAAAGGTTTGCCACCAGACTAGTACCCGAACTGAGAGGTATGAGCTACGAGGAGAGACTACGGGAATTGAACCTCACTTCGTTGGAAGACAGAAGAGTTAGGGGGGACATGATCACCACATTCAAGATTCTCAAGAGAATCGACAGGGTTGATAAAGACAGGCTATTTAACACACGGGGCACACGCACTAGGGGACACAGGTGGAAACTGAGTGCCCAAATGAGCCACATAGATAATAGAAAGAACTTTTTTAGTGTCAGAGTGGTTGTCAAATGGAATGCATTAGGAAGTGATGTGTTGGAGGCTGACTCCATACACTGTTTCAAGTGTAGATATGATAGAGCCCAATAGGCTCAGGAACCTGTACACCTGTTGATTAACGGTTGAGAGGCAGGACCAAAGAGCCAGAGCTCAACCCCCGAAGCAAAACTAGGTGAGTTCAACTAGGTGAGTACACACACACACACACACACACACACACACACACACACACACACACACACACGCACACGTCGATGTTTGCGGATTACGCAAAGTTGATGAGAAGAGTTGTGGCAGATGAGGATTGCAGGATCCTCCAAGAGGAATTGAACAGGTTGAAGAGATGGTCAGAGAAATGGTTACTGGAATTCAACACGAGCAAATGTAAAGTTATGGAAATGGGACTAGGAGATAGGAGACCAAAGGGACAGTACACAATGAAGGGGAACAGCCTACCTGTGACGACGCGCGAAAGAGACCTGGGTGTGGACGTAACACCTAATCTATCTCCTGAGGCACATATAAACAGGATAACGACAGCAGCGTACTCTACACTGGCAAAAGTTAGAACATCATTCAGAAACTTAAGTAAGGAGGCATTTAGGGCGCTTTACACTGCCTACGTGAGTCCAGTCTTAGAGTATGATGCCTCATCATGGAGTCCCCACCTGAAGAAGCATATAATGAAACTGGAAAAGGTTCAGAGGTTTGCAACGAGACTCGTCCCAGAGCTACGAGGCATGGGGTATGAGGAACGCCTGAGGGAACTGTGCCTTACGGCACTAGAAAGAAGAAGAAAGAGGGGGGACATGATAGGAACGTATAAAATACTCAGAGGGATTGACAGAGTGGACATAGACGAAATGTTCACACGGAATAGTAACAGAACGAGGGGACATGGATGGAAGCTTGAAACTCAGATGAGTCACAGAGATGTTAGGAAGTTTTCTTTTAGCGTGAGAGTAGTGGGAAAATGGAATGCACTTCAGGAACA